GGTCTTAGTGCTCAACCCCTCCCTTTCTTATCCCTGCACTCACTCTTAAAGGGGACATGCCGTCTCCCCCCTTCTTTTTCCTTCAACAGTTTTTCCTGGGTTTTTTTTTTGGGGGGGGGAGGGTGTTCAGTATTTTTGTTTCAACCATATGGCAACCCTAGGTGTCCGGTATTTTCTGAATTGTTTTACCGGACAGGAGGCGAAAATACCAGACTGTGTGGGTGAATATCGGACATCTGGCAACTCTATTCGTGGAGCCCTTGTGGTATTTATGCATTGAGGAAAAGATTGGCCTGCACATTGGGCACCGGGCAACTTGAACGATTTTGTTTGTTTGATCCTCACTGGCTGGGTAAAGGCCTCTGAGGATCACGAAAATTTTTAAATTGTAAAATCCTTTTGATTATTGTTATATCTACTGCTTCTGAGAGCAGTGTGTGGACGTTACATTGGGCAACCAGAGGTTCTCAGTTTCCAGTGAGATCAGACCTGAGATTATTGAGCAGGGGTCGTGGTGCTGGGAATTTGGGCGGTATCGACCAGCAGATGGAACAAGAACTTTCCAGGTGTCGGCTCATGAAACCTGGGCAGATTGACAGGCTCTTTAGAGCGGAGGCAGCCACCCCTTCCAGTCATGACTATTGCTTTCCCTGAGTGGGCTACAGCCATTGAGAGATTAACAAAGGGTTTGTCTTCACCGCAAAGCATTCACTTGGTTTCTTATCCAGGCATTGCTCCTCCCCCTCCTCCATTCACACACAAAACCCTCCCACCATGTTTCATGGTGCTTTCAAACTGCTGTATCTGGTGGTGACGGGCAGAGTCTGGGTGTATCTTTCACCTGGGCTGGTAATCTGCCCTCTTCTGCGGTGAAGACACAGCCTTGGAAACTTCACGCAGGTGCTGCAGCCCCACAAGTTTCCCTTGTGGGGAACCTACCACAGCACGAAGAACCATGGGATACATGCCCTTAAGTCCTAGTCATGCCAAGCCCCAGTGGCCGTAGTGTGGCTGTTCATGCCCAGCTAGGCTGGCTTGGGTGTAGATCAGGGATGGACAATAATTATAGACCGGGAAAGGGGGGGGGTGGATTTCACTAATTTCTGAAGTGGCACCGGCCTGCCCTGGAAGAGGCGGAGCCTGGGGCAGGTCCGGGACACTTCTGTGTTCCCCTGATTGGCCTGGGGGTGGGGGAGCACGTGAAGTCTTTGCCCCCTCCCTGCCTAGAGAGAACTGCCAACTGAACAGCTGGTGGTTCCCTCTAGGCCCCTGTGCCCCCGGGAGCGGGAGGAGACTGTGCACTGCCCCACTCACTTCCTGCTACCACCCTGCAAGGGGCACATGGTGCTTAGAGTGGATTGGTCCACTTAAAGTGCCACGTGCCCCTTACAGGGTGGGGGCAAGGATGGAGACGTCACACACTCCACTGGCCCCAGGCCAATTGGGGATCCAGCCCGCAGAGGCCCCTTTGCCCTTCCCTGGTGTAGCTCATGTGGCTAACTCCACAGTGGAGGTTTAACACATTTTGCCCAGGGGCAATAACTGAAGAGGTGCGGGACAGCACAGAGAGGAACAGGAAATGAGCCGAAAACAGCTACAAATTAAAGCAGATTCTTTATTTAGAAAACAAAGTGCTGAGCATTGACAAGCCTAGGTACAATTCTTACCCTTTTCAAATGAACTCTCATGTCCGCTTGCTCCAAACACGCCCCCATCTTAGGAACGCTACCCATTGGCAATGCAGCCTCCTTCCCTTCTGCGACAGGCGCACTTGGCAATCTCGCAGCCTGGGCACGTCTGTTCCCTGCACGGAGCAGGGGAAGCTCTGACCGGAGGGGAAGAGGCTCTGACAGACAGGTCCTGACCACATTTCCCATCCCACTGCAGTGTTGTCCTATCACAGGCCACGCTGCAGAACCCAGATGGTCATTACAGAGGGGCGCATGCAGAAGGCTGCTGCTGTCCTTCTTTCCCTTGCACTGCACCCAGATTTCCAGCTGCCTGGAGCTTTGCAGCAGGAGGTCTGTAAATTAACACCCAGGTGCGTCTCTGGGAAATGCTTGTGAAAGCTCCCTCAGCAGAGCTATACCTCTGGGATTAATTGGAAGTGTCTTGACTCTAAAGAGTTGCTCTGTGTTGCCAGGATTAAACTTCTTGTGACTTGAGAGCCAAGGGCAAATTGTTTCACTGGGAGGGTGGGGAAGCTCTGGGATAGTGTGACGTATTGGGGGGCTGTCTGCTCTGTAACCCGGTGCCCCCCTGCCCTGTGATGTGTGATTCCCACTGACTCATCCACATGCTGTGATGCGTGTCAGTACCTTGCTGGTCGCGGTGCGTGGGCTGTGGATGACCCCTACTGGCCTCTGTCTGTGAGCACGGCCCTGCAGGGGGCTGCCTAGGTCACGCAGACAAAGACCCAACCCGTCAGACTAGACCGGTTGGGGGCAGCGAGGGAACTAAGGAAGTGAGTGTTCGGGGGAAGGGGCAGTCGCTGGCTGGAAAACATGAAGGGAACAACCTAACCGGGAGGCTCTAAGGGGGGGGAGGAGGGTGGACCCCCTAACCTTAGGGATCTGGAACCACATCACGTCTGTGCTGGGCTGTATCCTGGAGAAGGAATAAACCCTCTCCAATCTACTGGCTGGCGGAGTCTGTTCTTGCTGCTATGGGGCTGCAGGATCGGGGGGACCCTGACGTGCCGCCACAGAGGGGTTCCCTAGGGAGGGGGTGGAATCCCCATCCCTAGAGGTGTTTAAGTCTGGGCTTGACAAAGCCCGGGCTGGAATGATTGAGTTGGGGTTGGTCCTGCTTTGGGCTGGGGGCAGGACAAGGCGCCTCCTGAGATGTCTCTTCCAGCCCTGGGATTCTATGAAACTAATAGACACAGTCGGGAAATACTATTTGCGTCACTTTGCACATTGTTAGCTGCACACCGTGGTGTGTTCTCCTGTGTGAAAAGAGGGCTTCTCCCCCCCCCCCATTCTCAGGGGAAGACACTCCTGCGTCGGCTGTTGCCACGATTAAGCAGGAACTGCCATCTCAGTAGCTTTGCTCACAGTTATTCCTATTGAAGTAGAGGGTTGTGCCCACGAAAGCTCATGATCCCATCAACCTGTTTGGTGTTTGGTGTATCTCTAAGGTGTTGTGGGACTGTTCGCTGTTGACGTGTTTCCAGTTCCAGACTCTCACGGCTTCCCCTCTGAAGTTATTCCTACAGCTCCGGCACAGTGGCCAGAATAGAAAAGGACAGTGCCCTCTATTCATGGCCTTGATAACGTCCCATCTCCACATCTGACAGCAGCGAGTCTCTGTGCTCAGAACAGGGGTTCAGAACAATGAAGAGACGATGCTCAAAGTGGTGAGAACTGTGCAAGCTAAACCAAGCATACGCTGTGCCCTCCCCCGCACAGCCCCGCCAGCACATCTGCACTCTACTCCCACTCCAAGCAGCACCCTAGGGAGCAGGACTTTGCAACCATTCCAGAGTGGGGGCCATCTCGTCCCAGAGACTGACTCTCCCCTCTCCCTGCCAGTTGCAGCAATTGTGTAACTGTGAAAATGGCAGCAGGGAAATTTCATATCCAGCTGCAAACTGATGAGCCAGGGCCCACCATGGTCCATGAAATACAAGGCAAGGGGCTTTTACTCCCCAGCACAAGCTCTGAGAGACGCGCCATAGACACAATTATGGGCAACGGATAATCTTATACAATTACTTTTGCAATTGAAAAACAGACATTTAAAAACATATTTGCTTTATGACGAAAATGTAATAGCAAATTGCATGGCACTCTACAGAGGCACGAAAAAACTACCTGAGCCATCTATGCAGCAAGGGCACTTTGATGCTAATCAATGTAGGAGCGTTGCTATTGAGTTGGCCTGAAGAGAAGAGCAGAGAAACCCTCCACCGAGCAATGCGCAATCAAAGGTGGATTGGCAAACATGGCAGCAATTAACTCCTATTCCAATCAACTCTGTATGGAAAAAAATGTTACCTGGTTGGCAGTTTTCTGCAGTTCCTTGCACCGCGCGGGCTTTGAAATCTGGTCCTAGGTCAGGACTAGAAGCACTAAAGTAACTGACTCCTACATACAAGTACTCAGAGTTTGGGAGGCCAGGTTTGCTATATCGATTGCCTCTATCAGCCCATCATTAACTCCAATTCTTTCGCATGGGAACTGCCAACAGCAACATTTTTTGTACAGCATCTGCACAGAGCGTTTCGTTTCTAACATTCCGCAGAAGCTGAAGATACATAGGCGATCTGTGCCGCGGCGCCTGAATACAAGTGACTGATACACAAGCAGAGTGCTCTTCCTGGTTCTTTGGGGACACACGGCAGATACCCTCTCCTCTACTCCTGCTTTGCTCCAGGTAGCTTCACAGGAGCCCAGCCTTGCATCTTGTAATAGGACACCAGCTGCTTAGGAACTTCTGCCAGGACTGTCTGGGAAAGAGCCTCCCGAGGAGCCTGCAGGAGACACCGGTGTAAGCAAACAGAACAACAGCACATAGCAGGGGGCCAGGCTGCCCATCAATTCTGCTCCTCCAAGGAAAGACCCAAAAAGCCTCTCCAGCTTCAGCTTTCATGCCTCAGGGCCTATAGGGCGCTCTGGGCAGGAGTGTCTCTGAAATGCAGCAGCACACAGAGACCGGGGGTGGGGTGCAGCTCTTTGCTGAACCAGCTTTTGTTGAAGAGAGGGAAGCTTCAAGCTAGCACAGCATCTTCGTCAGGCCTGGGGAACGTCCTCGGGCGCCGCAGCTAGAGCCAAGGGGGGACAGACTGTCTGGTGAAATAGCTAACACATATTTCAAGGCACCATTCAAGGGGAAGTGGCCCTTGACATCAACATTGATCCACAGAAAGCTCAGGGAAGAGTGACTGCACAAGTGGGGTGCGCTCCAGGCCCATGGCAGAAAATCTGAAAAGAACCATCCGACCCCCCACTCCGAGACTGCCCAACAAGTGCTGTTTCCATGCTGGCAAATCTAGAGTGGAGCTCAAACTGGCAGTTTTATGTGACTGGTTCCAACAAAATCTATTGGATTCATTTATAAATCACCAGCAGTGGTCAGAGAACCAGTTCCCTTCACATCCTTCAGATCAGGGTAGGAAACTAAACCTACCACCCCTAACACCTGTCATCTCCCTGGCTCCTGCCCTAGACTTGCTACTATGCAGCTTCCCTGGGTTCCCTAGGGAAGTAGAGGAGTCTCCATCCCTAGAGGTGTTTAAGTCTCGGCTCGACAAAGCCCTGGCGGGGGTGATTTAGTTGGAATTGGTCCTGCCTAGAGCAGGGGGCTGGACTTGATGACTCCTGAGGTCTCTTCCAGCTCCATGGTTCTATGATTCTAAAAGAGAAACTATGAAACCTGAAGCAACATCAGGGAGGGTCCTCTGGGCCCTTGTTGAACACCAGGAACTGGTTCGTCAAGGCAGGGCAGCCTATTCAAATGTAAAGAGAGGCGCAGGAACCTGTCCGTACAATTGGGCTTTACCTGCATGCTAGGCTGGACCCTGACCCCTGCTTCTTTCCCCTTGGTTTCCAATTCTTGCTCCAACCCTTGAATTGACTCCTGATTCTGACTGCGGCTCCGAGCCTTGGCTTGACTCCCAAGCCCACTGCTAGATTCAGCCTCCTACAGTCTAGTCTTGACATTAAGGACACAAGCAAAGTTTTCAGTATAACCTAAGTTGTGAATTAACTGAACACCACTCTACCAAGAGAGCTCCCCTTCCCCCGCGGCCACTCTGAGTAGAAGAGTACCCTTTTCAGCTTAGCATAAATCTTTTCCCAGGCAACAGAAGCTAACCTGAAAAAAGCCAGTCTAGGCTTTTAAACTCAATTATATGGAGAACCCCATATTTCCTACTGGGATTGCTGGAGATTTGAATGCAGTGCTTCATCCTCTGCGGACAAATCTCACCCTCAGGATTACAAGCCCGAGTGGCCTTGCAATCGCACATGAAAAAGCTGATACCAAGTATGTTCTGTTCACACTGGCCCATGCATGGGTCTTATTCCCACAGATCAATTTCTTTTTGAGCACCATAGATTTGCTTAATTCTGTAAATGGCTTCTTCCATTGATAGAATTGCTGTGTCTGACCAGGCCCATATAATTCTTCAAACAGCAATAAGATAAGGTAAGATCCGGGTAAGAAACAACTCTATAGAGAGAGAGATTTAATTCTTCATTTTTATTAGAGTCACATTTAAAAATCCTTATTGAAAAATAAATTGGAGGCTGTCGTGGGAAACACACAAAGCCTATTAGAGGAGGAGAATTATTAGTTTTACATCTGAAAAAAGAGGGAACATGGAGAAAATATGATGGCTCTGGAGAAAAATAAGTAAAGGAGCTTGGTTTGTCTTATGCCACAGCCCAGACCAACTGTAGATTTCGACTTAAATGGAATTTGCCACGTTTTGACTCAAACGCAGAGCTGGCACCCTCCTAAGACCAAAGGACTGTGTGTGGAATCACAGCAACCTGCCATAAATATGGTACGTTAAGGGCATCACCTACAGATACGAATAAAGAGCTAATCAGTTTCTGTAAAAAGCTGTGTAACTTTGACCCAAATCTCGCCACAGACGAGACTGGAGAAGGTTCTATCATATGCCCACCTCAAGCCAGGTTTGTCAGAAGCTGTCACAGCTCCGAAACCATCAACAGCTCGATGATACTGTAGCAGTGACCTCTGATGATCCCAAACCACAAGCTGGTTTAGTGTTCAGTGCAGAAAAGGCAGTGTGGAAGACAGGATTTATACCCCTGACACAGGGACCTTTGTGCACCAGCTAGCAGGGAGTACAGGGACATACCAATTAAAGGGATCCTTGGGTCTGGTATTTACCTTCTACTTCTCCACAGAGTGTCACGTAAAGGTTCTAGGGAAAGCTCTGTCACATTGGCCCGCCATAACCTTTGCAAACATCTGTGTGAATAATGTGTCAGGAGAGAGGTCTCTATATTGGAAATTACATTCTAGAAGCTTTAGAGTTAGTCAGAGGTAGCATCTTGAAACAGACTTCCCCAGACAGTAGGTGGAAGATGCTTGCTTCCCTCACCAGCCATGGGGAGGCGTGTGCCTTACAATAAACGTCTGTCAGCACACAGAGTCTAATGCTAACCAACAGCACCTGGAGGCTTCAGAAGGAAATTCCCAGGAGAAGGTAAACAGTGGGGTGCGGCGGGAGGGGAGAGAGAATCCAGTTCTAGAGGTGAACAACAAAGGAGTGGTCTTGTCTATCTGCGGGTGCAGAGATGCACCCTGGCATCCTTCAGTGGGGGAGGCAAGCTGCCAGCAGGCTGGGCCTCAGGAAAGAGGAGTCTCAACAGTGCTGGCTGAGAAGCCCTAGAGAAGTAGGGCCATGCCTGCCAAGAGGGGACCGTGGCACTTGAGCTTATGATTTTGTTATTTCCAGTGGTAGCAAAGGAATATTGGAATCTCTCTGCTATTAGACACTTGCCCTCTCAGTGCCATGTGCTATGCGGAGCAATGTTCTAAGCTGGCCTCTAAGCTGCAGCACATTGTTCCTTTGGGGACAGCAGCCCTTGTAATTCTGTGATCAGCGGACCAAGGCCTGGACGCTCCAGAGGGATCCTGAGGGGTTGGAGCGGGTCTCTGGTTTAGCTGTACATTTAAATTAAATTAATGGAGATTGCCTATCTCCTAGCACTGGAAGGGACCTTGAAAGGTCATCAAGTCCAGTCCCCTGCCTTCACAGCAGGACCAAGCACAATCCCTGACAAATATTTGCCCCAAATCCCTAAATGACCTCTGCAAGGATTGAACTCACAACCCTGGGTTTAGCAGGCCAATACTCAAACCACTGAGCTATCCCCCTCCCTCACCATTGTAGGACGACAGTGGAGCTTGCAGGGGCTGCAAAAGGATTACTGTGCAACTTGTGGCACAGTTTTTGGGGAGCTGGGCCCTGGTCAGTCCAGACACGGCTCTTGCACATTTAAGGCAGGTGGCAACGAGGGGCTTCACAACCCCCAAATACTTCACAACCTTACAAAAACTTAGATTTGGACCCGTGTAGTTCCTGGAGCTCAGAGTTATTTCTCAGCCAACATCTCATGTCACAACCTCCAACATGACCTCGGATGGCTTCAGTCTCTTCCAGAGCACTAGGACAAGGGGCTCGCTAGCTCCATTACTTTTTAGCATGGTTATGGGGGCAAAGAGGTTAGGCCTAGTGATGTGAAAACCTTTAGCTCCAATTACAGGGGAGCTTGGTGCTCAGTCTTTTGCTGAGCCCCTGGCTTCATGGAAACACCTCCACTCACTCAGTTGCCCCTTCACCTACCAAGCTGGGAGTGCTCAGCTTCTGATGGACAAGAACCATCCTTTGAGAACCAAGAGAACAGCTCCAGCGCCATTCTGGCCCACACTCCCTTGCAGACAGCTCACTGGCTTTATGCTCTAGCTATGTGGCTAATGGATTCACTACAAAGACGCTCCTCTCTCAGCTCACCCCGGGGACAGTTGGGTATAAGGAGAGCAGGATAACAGGCTGCAGTTTTCCTCATATTAAAATAAAAGATAACTTACCTTTTGGAACTGTCGGAAAGGCACAAACTGTACAATGTCTCGTGCAGCCGGCTCCCCCGTCACGGACCTTAAAACACCGTCATCCCCATCCAGGAATTCCATGGCCTTGAAATCAGCATTGCCAACTCCAACGATAATAACAGACATGGGCAGCTTCGAGGCATTGACAATAGCTTGCCTGGTCTGATCCAGATCAGTGATCTCCCCATCTGTGATGATCAGGAGCACATAGTATTGCTGCAAAACATTCAATTGGGCAATCAGTGAACATAAGCTCAACCCCCCAGCCAGAGCCCAAAGCCTTAGCTACCGCTAGGGCATGTGACTCAGGCACAGGACAGAGTGAAGTTCTGTTCCCAGTACCTGGGTGACCTTGGGTTAGTCACGTCTCCCTTCGTGACTCAGATTTTCCTAAGCTGGCCCCAGTTTTAAAGGGGAGGGGGAACTGAGAGGCTTAGTACAGTGAGGTCTGTAAAGAATTTTCAGAGCCTTGGACAGAGAGCGCTAGAGACCAGCAAAGTACCACTGGAGCAAGCCCGTCAGCTGTAATACCTGCTGTCTGAGGCTGTTTTCCTTAGTGGTGGTATTGTTACAAAGGATAAAGAAATTAAAGTGCCCAAGAGCATAACAAGCTGAGAAAATTCAGGTCATGAATGAACGCCCAGGAAGGACATGAAATTAGAGGACTTTGAAAACTGCACCATAGGAATAAACTGCATGTGGAACAGACTATGTCAGAGGCAGCAACAAGAGTTGCCACATGAACGTTTCTAGAAAGAGTAAGACACCCCAGAGCAAACATTAAATGGGAACACACGCAGCACTGGTAGGGGGCTCTACTAAGGGCCACGTGGCATCCTCCCAGTCCTAAAGACAAAGGGTTACAACTGAGCGCCCAGATGTCTGTATAATCAGTGCTCTCTATCTTGTAGTGCCTGCTTGCAAACTTTAATACAAAGAAAATAAACAGGAAATCCTATGCGTCAGGTAGCAAGACAATCGCTGTTGTTAACAACTGGAAAGGAAAGGAGTTGCCCAATTCCCTCGGCAGTTACTGGCGGTAGTTTAGAAAGACACTATTTGTACCGTAAACGTCATTTCATTGAGACACAGTTAGAAAGAGTATGGAAAGGGCCTCAGAATATGAACTATCCATCACTCTAGCAGCAAACACCCCACTGAGAGATGAAGTGCAATACATCTCCCTGCTCATGCAGACAAAAACCCACAGTCCCTGGATTTACAACCAGGTAACCAGAAGTAGGGATTTGCAGGTGGCAACGAGGGGCTTCACAACCCCCAAATACTTCACAACCTTACAAAAACTTAGATTTGGACCCGTGTAGTTCCTGGAGCTCAGAGTTATTTCTCAGCCAACATCTCATGTCACAACCTCCAACATGACCTCGGATGGCTTCAGTCTCTTCCAGAGCACTAGGACAAGGGGCTCGCTAGCTCCATTACTTTTTAGCATGGTTATGGGGGCAAAGAGGTTAGGCCTAGTGATGTGAAAACCTTTAGCTCCAATTACAGGGGAGCTTGGTGCTCAGTCTTTTGCTGAGCCCCTGGCTTCATGGAAACACCTCCACTCACTCAGTTGCCCCTTCACCTACCAAGCTGGGAGTGCTCAGCTTCTGATGGACAAGAACCATCCTTTGAGAACCAAGAGAACAGCTCCAGCGCCATTCTGGCCCACACTCCCTTGCAGACAGCTCACTGGCTTTATGCTCTAGCTATGTGGCTAATGGATTCACTACAAAGACGCTCCTCTCTCAGCTCACCCCGGGGACAGTTGGGTATAAGGAGAGCAGGATAACAGGCTGCAGTTTTCCTCATATTAAAATAAAAGATAACTTACCTTTTGGAACTGTCGGAAAGGCACAAACTGTACAATGTCTCGTGCAGCCGGCTCCCCCGTCACGGACCTTAAAACACCGTCATCCCCATCCAGGAATTCCATGGCCTTGAAATCAGCATTGCCAACTCCAACGATAATAACAGACATGGGCAGCTTCGAGGCATTGACAATAGCTTGCCTGGTCTGATCCAGATCAGTGATCTCCCCATCTGTGATGATCAGGAGCACATAGTATTGCTGCAAAACATTCAATTGGGCAATCAGTGAACATAAGCTCAACCCCCCAGCCAGAGCCCAAAGCCTTAGCTACCGCTAGGGCATGTGACTCAGGCACAGGACAGAGTGAAGTTCTGTTCCCAGTACCTGGGTGACCTTGGGTTAGTCACGTCTCCCTTCGTGACTCAGATTTTCCTAAGCTGGCCCCAGTTTTAAAGGGGAGGGGGAACTGAGAGGCTTAGTACAGTGAGGTCTGTAAAGAATTTTCAGAGCCTTGGACAGAGAGCGCTAGAGACCAGCAAAGTACCACTGGAGCAAGCCCGTCAGCTGTAATACCTGCTGTCTGAGGCTGTTTTCCTTAGTGGTGGTATTGTTACAAAGGATAAAGAAATTAAAGTGCCCAAGAGCATAACAAGCTGAGAAAATTCAGGTCATGAATGAACGCCCAGGAAGGACATGAAATTAGAGGACTTTGAAAACTGCACCATAGGAATAAACTGCATGTGGAACAGACTATGTCAGAGGCAGCAACAAGAGTTGCCACATGAACGTTTCTAGAAAGAGTAAGACACCCCAGAGCAAACATTAAATGGGAACACACGCAGCACTGGTAGGGGGCTCTACTAAGGGCCACGTGGCATCCTCCCAGTCCTAAAGACAAAGGGTTACAACTGAGCGCCCAGATGTCTGTATAATCAGTGCTCTCTATCTTGTAGTGCCTGCTTGCAAACTTTAATACAAAGAAAATAAACAGGAAATCCTATGCGTCAGGTAGCAAGACAATCGCTGTTGTTAACAACTGGAAAGGAAAGGAGTTGCCCAATTCCCTCGGCAGTTACTGGCGGTAGTTTAGAAAGACACTATTTGTACCGTAAACGTCATTTCATTGAGACACAGTTAGAAAGAGTATGGAAAGGGCCTCAGAATATGAACTATCCATCACTCTAGCAGCAAACACCCCACTGAGAGATGAAGTGCAATACATCTCCCTGCTCATGCAGACAAAAACCCACAGTCCCTGGATTTACAACCAGGTAACCAGAAGTAGGGATTTGTCTAGATTGGGGTGGGCAAGAGGTGGCTAGCGGGCCAGATCCAAGCCGCCCGGTCCAGTCTATGGCCACCTCGCTGGCACCCTTACTATAGAGCTGCAGCCACTTTAAACAGCAGGCTGCTAATTGCTATGCAGTCTGGGTGGGGCAGACTCTATGATGGACCCCTGCACCATGCTTTATGAAATGGACATGAATATACACAACTCAAAGGTGCTTTGAGCGAATTATTTCCTGTAACTCGTCAATCTTCATGTCATGATCTGCTGGTTCTGTTTATCTGACTCTGTTGCATGTATCATGTATGCGTGTAAAATTAGGCACATGGAGTGGGGAATACTTTGTGAGTTTCAAATGTGTGATTGGGAGAAATGGAGGGTGTTACCCGCAACTTCTTGATGAGCCACTGGTAAACAATCTTTTGTCCTAAATCTGAGCAGTGGTTAGTAGGGAGGGGCCTCAACTCCTTAACAAAAAGAGTAGGAAAGCAGAGGCCTGGGTCTTTTGGCTGGGCTGCACCCGAAGGAAGGAGCGTGAGACCCATGGTGAGGAGACTGCCCTGGTTTGGAGGGGCAGCTGGAAAAGAGGTTTCAGAGGGAGTGTGAAGAGTTTGTACTGAGGTTTCAGTGGAGAATTAGCCAAACGTTTTTGTTTCTTTTGATTTGTAATGTACTTTGCTCTGCCTGCTCTCACTTACCACCACTTAAATGCTACTGCTTCCACTTCATAAAATCATTTTTGTTTTCTATAAAACCCAGTGTAAATAATTGTTACCTGGGGATGCAGCCAGTGTGCACATTCCCCCTTTCATTGTTAAAGGGGCGTACCTAATTCTCTGGGGTTTGATCCCATCTGGGGAGTGGTATCGAGGAAGCTGGGCCTCCTCGGACCTGAAGAGGTTCAGTGTCTGTGCTGCTTCTTGGGGAGGGGGAAGAGGGGAGGGACGTCAGCTCGGGGCCTGGGCTGGAGGAGACCAGCGGAGCTGGCCCAGCAGGACCGGGTGGTGAGGAGCCCCAGAGAGTGGGAAGGTGAGTGGCCGTGGCAGCACCCTGGGAGGCCCCCCCCGAGGGGTCGTCTGTTACCACTCCCGTCACACACTCCATTCAAAGTCTGTGTGTTTGTTTTAAAGAACCAACATGGAAACAAATAATTCTATCGGGCAATAAAAGGCTTTTGTGTTGGTGAGACACGGTTTTCAAATTGAATAAATGAAACTGTACAAGTTAATGACGTGATTTTTAAACAAGCTAGGCCTACAAATGCAACGTGTGCGAGATGGTGAGCCTGATTTGCATGGGAAGTGATATAATTAAGCCATGATTACACATCAGTGCTCACAGTTGTGCTAATGGAGTAGTTTAAGTTTGTATTCCCTGCCCAGCATTGTGGAAGGTCAACTGGACTTGCTGTGAGTGGCTGCACTGGTCTCGTCTCTGTCTGGGGAAGTGATGCTCTAGAAGGGGTTGAAAACTCCTTTCTGCCCCATTTTGTGCATCTTTTGCCAACCTGAGCCACCCCCAGGGAATGTCAGTCAATGACTTCAAGTCACTGGAACTGCACAAAGAAGGGACGTACCTCACACTGACCCCTTGTAACAGGCTGTATAAAGCCAGCGCTGGGAGTGAAAGGGTTAAGGAACAACTCTGGGCCCTGACTACCCCAGCTAGCCACCCCGGGAGAGCATGCTCCAGGTGCAAGTAGGGATTGAAAGCTATCCAGACAGCCCGGAGAAGCTGACCAGGCAAGGAGAAGGGCCTGAAGAAGAGCATGGGAGCTGCTCCACTGAGATGAGAGGATCTGACCCCGGGAACCCAGACTGACCACAGGCCTTGTTTGTTCTACATTACCCTGGTCACAGACTGAAAAAGCTTGAACTACAGAGTGTAGGGGTAGGATGAGGCCCAGGTAGGACTGTCTTAAGATGCTCCTGGGTGCCTGACCCTGGCTATACTCATTCAGAGCCCGATGGAGTAGGAAGGCCTGAGCTCCCATATTGCCCTATAACCGAAGATTTTACCTCTGTCTCACCCCACCCTACACAGAGCCAGTGTTTCCCCAGGATATCACAAGGTGAGGAAAAGGTCACCTAGACTCCAGGGGCTGAGTGAAATACCATCAAGATTTGGGCACGCTGGGGGAACCAATCAGAGGAGTGCAAGGAGGAAAGGCGAAATCTCTTTGCGATTCCATTCTATCCCGGGCAGGGAAGATGGAAAGATCAAGCATGCAGGTCTGTACCCGACAAACATGGACTTACGGTAGCAGTTCCTTGCTGTGCTGACTGAGCTGCAAACCTTGCCACATGGTTTATAATAGGAGAGAAATTTGTTGGCCCATAAAGTCGGAGCTGAGGCAGTGCCTGGCGATAAGCATCCACAATTCCTTGGATCCCTATGCAACAAGACAACCTGAATTACCAGAAAAGCCTTAACATGTCACTGTCTCGCTACAGCCGCCTCTCCCATGGAACATCTATACACAACCTAATGGACAGGTCACAAGCAGCAGGCAGTATTGTGCATGGCAAGGTGGCCCCATGTGCACAAGAGCATAAGCAGAGTGCCTAGTGGGAACCTGCAGAGAACTGGTCGGGTGTCCTGCAGACTGCTCCCATCTTGAACTTGCCAAAAGATTCTCCAAGAAGCTCCACGGGTTAGTGCTACCGACGTAATGCAGCTGCTAGGAGCTTCATCTACAAAGGGAAAGGTTTGTAGCTGACAGACTGGTGTGTGCTTAGGCTGGGGCATTGACAGGCGAGGCAATTACAAACTCATGCGGAGACACTCACAGGACTAAGGCTCTCTACAGGGCTGGCTTCAGGGGACA